ATCGAAACCCGGTTTCTAGCGTTGTAAGTCCGCAGACATACCACTGTGCCACTGGGGGGTGGTGGTGATTTTTAGTTCTAATCTATTTAAGTAGCTTGCTTTGATCAGAAGTTAATATTGATTATTAACGAAGTAAAATATATACCAGAATATTGGGTTTTAATAATCGAAATGAAATTCCATGGATGAAAACTTCAGGTAGCACATTTCTAGTATTTTAAGTATTTTTAAACATAGTCATAGTAATTCTACTTCTGGACTATTTTCTACCATTAGTTTATGGAAGGGTGAAAAATACAGACTAAAGCTGCAGCTTATAACATAATGTGTTTGTATTTTATTATCAAAAGGAAGCTGATATATTCATGTCGCAAAAATTACAATTATTCACATATTGATTGAAGAAGTTGAGGAGTTGAACATAAAATGATAAATATAATTAATTAACTGAGTGTACAATGTGCGTTTCAAGATGCCAGTGTAATTTACAGATGACATCTCGGTTTTTATTAATTAATTTATTAATTCTCGAGCTAAATGTTTAATTAAATTGTTACATTGTAGCACCTCATAAAAAAAAGGTAAGATGTAGTTATAAACGTCATCGCCGTAAGTTTCATTCAGAGGTAAATATTATTACTTCACGTAGGCTATTGCACATTCACTAAAACAGAAGTAAGAACAAACCAATTTATTTTTAATACCTAATATATAATAAGCACTAAAACAAAGTTTTTGAGAGCTGGTTTCTACAATATATCAATAGTTCAAAGTTTAAAAAGTTTCGATTCAGAAAAACGTAAGCAAAAGAAATCTCTCTTTCTTTATTTGTGTGTGTGGTGGGGGGGGGGAGAGGTCATCAGCGACAACAAGTTTCTAAGTTATACAGTACACAGACTATTCACTAGTAAAGTGAATTATTTAGTGTAGCATCATAATAGAAGGAGTAGGCGTACTAAATAGCATAGATACATGAAAATACATACATTAATTTGGCCTTAGGAATGTTCTTGAAAACTAGTGGAATCTTTGGCCTAATGATGTTCTCAATAGTGTCCTTGTATGCATTAAGAAGATCCTCCTGAAATACCAAAAATCTCTTAACAAAAGCTTTTTACAAAGTATCTCAAGCTTAAGACTTAATAAAAAAGTAAATCTTCTAACTCTTTGTCATGGGGAATACTTTTGAAGTGGGCAGAAATAATTATTACCTTCGAAATGTATCAAAATTTGTTTAATTGAAATATTAATTTGAAGTATGGATATTTACAATTCGGTATGTCAAAAATAGTTCTTCTCAAGAATATATTTGTTATGTTAAATAACGATGAAGAATGTGTAAAAAATATGTTGACCACACTATATCTGCCATATTCAGTGATGAGGAAACATTTCGGCCAATAAAGTTTGTTCTCCAATAATATGATATTTCAGACGAAACTACTTACTTTTGTTTTGAAGAAAAATCTGGGATCAGTTCTTAGATTTTGAAAAAAATCTGATTTTGAGGAATTTATTCCAAGCACCTTCATTAACTGGAAGTGAGAATTTAAGTTGTTAAAATAATAAAAATGGAAAATATGATGGCTAGCACTAAATTTGATTTAACACAAATGTTTAATAATTCACAATAAATAAATTATAACTAAGAATTAAAACATAGTGTTTTGTTCTTTATCAAAGAATATAAATAAAGTACCTATTAGCTCTTATTATAATACTAATGGCGATGCTTTATTAGATAATACAAACATTCACTAATTAAAAAAAGAGAAAATATTTCTCCTTCCAAGAAACATAATTCAAAAGCTAGATCTAGACTTTCAATAACAGTGTAGAGAAGTAACGTATATACTTAAATAATGGTTCTCCATGTAAAACAAATAAACATAACCTACTAATAAATGTTTAATGAGAACGTTTTTAAGTTATAAAGTATTTCATTTTTATTGAATCATATTTTTTGACATTCCAGTAAAATGTATTTCTCTTTTGTCAGCCTTAGCGAATCATTTGTCTATCATGTTAGCTTGCAGTAGTTTTTGTCAAGAATCGTCTGAAGCATTGTGAAGGATTTACTATTATATATCAATTTTAATATCGATATTTGTTTGAATTGGTTTATATTTAGAAATGTACACAACTTATACTGTTAAATATGTATTGCGAAACTCCCACATATTTTCTAAAGTTGAAGAAGATTCTCGAGTTTGAGAATCGAAAATATATGTATGTACGTAAACGCTAGTGTTAGAGTCAGTATTGTTACGTAAAATTGAAATTGCGAGAAACTCTTCACACGCCTCTAAATATAACGAACAAGACTCCCCCCCCCCAAAAAAAATATATTATTCGATTTCTGTAATTTGTGTGCTATAAACTTCGTAAGCTATAATTGTGATTAACGCTTATTAATCGGGAACTTCAGATATATTGACCAGAAGCGTTTATAAATTTCGAACATTACAAAATCATTCAACTTCAGTGGATTCACATCGGACATTAGTACTTTTATGAAGACATTACCTAACGTCACCAGTAGGAAAAATTGGCGTGTGATCAGTGAAGACCACAGAGCTAGCTAGCTCCCTTTTAAGTGAATCGTACCTACATCAACTCGAAATAACTATTTATAATAACTGTTATTATAAATTGTATTATTGTTTGTGCATTAAAATAGATTTTGTATTGAAAAAAACTGTGTGCATCAATCTTGTTGGCAAATATCATAAATTGTAGATATATCGGCATTTATTTAACTACTAAATTTAAATTATCATTTAGCTCGGTTTCAGACCATTCGAAATTGTAATACGTAACACACTGTACTGTGTTTAAACGATTGTATGTTATCATTACTAAGTGGAAACTCTAAAACACAACCAACATATAGATGATTACTAAGAAAAAATATAAAACAATTTAACAAAATCTTCAAGATCACCTCATCTATTTCTCCAGAAATCCGTTCTACTTCTTTAAGTCCTATCTGGTGAATTTCTTCAGGACTCTTGTCAGTTGTAGTGTGGAGCCGGAGACACTGCTTATACATCTCCTCTCCATCCGGAAGGCTGGAGACTGCAATAAGGGGACGAGTAGCAGCCATGTACTCCTATAAACATTGCCTCTGTATTACTGAGGTGTTATACAACAGTTATTACAGAGATATTGTCACTAGTACTATGATAATATACAACAGTTACTACATACTCATACAGAAACATTGTCGCCGTTACTGTAGGCCCCTGTAGCTCAGCGGTAAGTCTGTGTGCTAATAACGCTAAAACTCGCCTTTCGATTCTCGTGGAAACGCAACACAAATATTTCCGTTGTGAAGCTTTGTGCGTAACAAGAACCACATAAAGAAATAGATGATAATACAGAAACATTGTCACCGAATTATCATGGATATCACTCTATGATATTTACGTAAATTATACAATATTTACATGATCATATAGAAATATTGCAACTTCACTACCATTGTATTATGCAACAATAATTACATAGTTACCTACGACAATGTACACTTTTACAACGACAAAAAAGAATCAGATGAAAGGTAGGATAGACCTGAGAAGCTCTAACATAGAAAAGTTTAAGTACAACAAAATTTCCTGAACAGAATGTTTAGAATGCTGTATGTAACTGTTCGACGAAAGTA